GACTGGGGTACTCGGGATGGGTTTGTCAGAGGCAATGAGATTGGCACAGGATAGAGCATGGTTTAGGGCTATTGTACATAGGGTCGCTATGAGTCGCAAACGACTCGACGGCACATAACAACAAACAACAACAAAGTTTAACATTTTAAAATAATTAATACTTAAAAAAAATTATTCTACACATTGACTTGCTCAGATTGGTCACATGGCTCTTATATCTTCCCCAAGTAAAAGAGTGTTGATAAACAAGGAGTCCTAGAGCTTCAGGATACTTGGAAACATGATGAAATATGGTGATGTGTTGAACAAACTCAATGTTCTTGACCTTTCTCCCTGATTCTTTTCACTGAAAAATAGAATGCTATGGCTATGAAAACAGGATTCCCATGGACATCAGGAAGTAACAAAAATCAGAAGTTAGAAACAAAGAAACAAGCAAACGCCCAAACCAAAACAGAAGTTAGCTATCTAATGCTTTTATGCAACACTGATATGGAGGTTGAGATCAGTTTAATAAAAGGAACAAGTATAAGAATGAAGAGATAAAAAATTGTTATTCACCAATGATGAAAATACCTAAGAAAAAATATATATCGTAATTAAGAAAAGAAATTAGCAAGGTAGTTGAGCCAACTGGCAGCATAGATGGAGAAGAGACTGAGATTGTTAACAGTTTCAGCTTGCTTGGCTATATAATTAACACTCTTGGTGCCAGCAGTCAGGAAATAAAAACACCAGCTGTACTGGGAAAAGGTGCTGTAAGGGACCTCTGTAGAGTAATAAAGAGCAATAGTGTCAGTCTAGAGACTAAGGTGAGCCTGATCCAGGCCATGATCTTTGCAATTACTTGCTATGCATCAGAAAGCTGGACAATGACTAAGGATGACAAAAGAATCGATGTCTTTGAGTTGTGGTGCTGGAGAAGAGTACTGAATATACTATGGACTGTTAAGAGAACAAAACGGGTTTGTCCTGGAGAGAGTGAAATCAAGACGCTCCTCAGAGGCAAGGATTTTGCAGCTCTGTCTCACATACTTTGGATGTTGAAAGGAGGGACCAGTCCTTAGAGAAGAACATCATGCTTGGGAGGGTGGAGGGTCAGAACAAGAGAGGAAGAACCTGGATGAGATGGATTGACTCAGTGACTGGGGTTATGGAGGTAACTCTGTTGGAGACAGTGAAATTGGCTTAAGATAGGGCAAGGTGCAGAGCTGTTGAAAATAGCGTCTCTATGAGTTGCAAGCAACTCAACAGTGCATAACAACAAGAAAATAGCTGAATACATTATCAATATACAAAAATTAATTCCATTCCTATGCAAAAGCAATTAATGATTAGAAAATAGAAATGGAAAATATTATTACTAAAAATATATTTAGAAAATAAAATATTTTGAATAGTTTGAAAAATATACATCAAGAAATATATCTAACAAAAGCTCTCCAAGACTTGCATAAAGAAAATGATAAAATACTATACTGAAATGAGTCCTCCTAAAATACATATCAACTTGGCTAGGTCATGATTCTCAGTATTATGTGATTATCCTATGTTTTGAAAATTCTAAACTTTATGATATTAATGAGGCAAGATTAAAGGTGGTTATGTTAATAAGACAGGATAATGTTGTATTTTGAGTCACTCTTTTGAGAGGTAAAAGAGATTAAGTAAATAAGGAAACAGAGATTACAGGGACCTAACTAAAAAGGCATTTAACAATATTTGCACTGGGAAAGTCTGCAGTCAGAGATCTCGCCAATTTATTGAGAAGCAATGATGTCAGTTTGAGGACTAAGGTTCACCTGATTCAGGCCATGATTTTACAGTCACTAGCTATACATCTGAACAATGAATAAGGATGACAGAACTAATGTCCTTGAACTGTGATGTTGGAGAAGAGTGTTGACTATCTCATAGACTCCCAAAATGACAAATATGTTTTGGAGAAAAGTACAATCAAAGTACTACTTTGAGGCATGATGGTGAAACTTCATCTCAAATATTTTAAGCATTTTGTTAATAGTGGCTAGTACTTAGAAAAAGACATCATACTTGGAAAGGTGGAGGGTCAGCAAACAGAAGATCTGCAGCAGGACAGACTGACACTGTGACTGTAACAATGGGCTTGAGGATGCTGGAGACTGTGAGGACGGCACAGGAGAGGACAGGGTTCAGATCTGTTGTTCATAGGGTCACTATGAGAACACAACAGTATCTAACAACAACAACTAAGAAGGAAGATCCAGAAGTGGAGTGAATCTTTTGGACCCAGGGCCCCATATGGAAAACCTTCCTCCTTAAGTGAAGACTGGGATGCCAAGGCACTTGGAGATCTTCAAGGGATTATGAGTCCACGGATGCATAAAGGAGACCATAACCTTTCCTCAGACCCATAAGAGAAAGAAAGCCTTTCCCAAAGGCTGCAATCCCAGAGGCACACGGTTTCAGTCTACCAGCTGCTCCATGGGAGAAAGATGGGCAATCTCTACCTGCATGATTTACTGTCTCTGAATACCCACCGGAGAAGGTCCGCTATGGGTAAGTTCCAACTTGATGGTACTCAACAACACTTTCCTTAACCATGAAGGAATAAATTTCTGTTTACTAAAGTCATCTACTTGTGGTATATCTCTTAACACAACAATATCAGACAATAAAAATAAACGTCATTGTTATGTGCCAGCAAGTCACCTGTGACTCATAGTGACCTTTTTGTAGAACAGCTCTGAATTCTGCTCTATCTTCAGCCAATTTAATTGTCTCCAACACACTTATTACCCCAGGCAATGAATGAATCCATCTCATCGGGGTCTTCCTCTCCTGTGCTGTCCCTCCACCCATCTAAGAATGATGTCCCTCTCCACGGACTGGTACTTCCTTGTAATACGCTCAAAATATGTCATATAGAGCTTCAAAATCCTTGCCTCCAAGGAGAAGCTTGGTTTCACCCTCTCTAGGTTAGACTTAAAAATGTGCCATATTAATAAAAAAGCATACTTAATGTAAAAAAGGTATTTATTATCCTCAAATCAATCTCTAAATTCAATGCAATTCTAGTAAAATTCGTATCAAAACTTTTCTTAGTTTGACAAGTTGCTTCCAAAAGTTTTGGAACATTCAAGGATAGCAAAAATAACATTGCACAACAGGGCATACAAATCCCATTTGAAATGATCTGTTATAACCAAACTACAGTAATCCTGCAAGGTTTTTAAATATCAAACCTGTAGCCAGGGAAGTAATGTAGGAAGCTTCTGTTTTAGGAGTTACTGTGCTCCAAATTCTTAACCATAAATTTGCCTTGTCTTCTGCAAAGGCCTCTTCTATCTCGAAATTTTTGCCTGTTCAGTATCAGTTAGGCAAAACAGAGTTTGGAAACTTTTATAAAAATTTTACTCATGGAAGAAAATCTACCGGCTTCCAAAAGACTCGTCACTTAATCATACTTTATTTTCATTTCAAAGACAAGGGCAAAGTAGAAGGAATCAGCTTTAAAAATAATCCTAGAGGTCACATCTTAAAGAGAAGGAACAAGTAGAAATAGAATGGATCCAAAGTCTCTGTAAACTTTCATTAAGATTAATTAAAAATAATTTTAAAAACCTAAAAACCAAAACAAAACAAGCTGAATAGGCCCTAAAAGAAACAAACAAACAAACAAAAAACACCTCATAAAATCCTACAAAGTTAATTTCTGTAAATGGTGTCATCTTCACACATCGATCTCACAGAGCACTTATTCCTATTCTTTAAGATATTAGAATGTTATGTTAGAAGACAGGATAAAGTGTTTTTCTTTCTTTTTTTTTTTTTAGGATAAAGTGTTTTTCAAGTGAATATAAAAACTCAGTTTCAAAAGAGAGAGAAAGGCAAGCAAATCCTCAAAGCACTAAAGAGCAGCTAAGAGACTACCTGGCACAACACTTGAGATTTCGGTACCTTAGTCAGCTCCTTTTCTTTATGGAGGTCCTCATGAAGTTCTGGAAGAGCATCTTCACTATTTGCCTTTAAAACTTGCAGTCTGCTTTTCAACTCTTTGATTTTCTTTTCACACCGGTCCCAAGTCTATTGAAAAATAGTATTAAAATTAACTACTTCGTTTTTGAAAAATAAACTACAGAAATAAAACAAAAGCTCCATTAATGCAATTTTTCTATTAAATGCGCACTTACAAGCATAAAAGGACATTTTATAAAGCCTATAAGGGTGGGACAGGGTTTATATCTGTTGTTCATAGTTGAGTACTAGGAGTCAAACTCAATTTGACAGCACCTAAAAACATCATCAACAACAACAGCAGTGTTTGCTAGTTGAGTCTAATTCATATGTGTTGGAATAACACTAGGCTTTTCAGTGGCTAATTTTCAGAAATTGAACACCAGGCCAGTCTTCTAAGGTTCCTATAGATAGATCTGAACCTTCAGACTTTGGGCTAGCAGCCAAGCACACTAGCTGTTTGCACTAAAGCAGACTGTAGTCTAGAAGAGCACGCATGCCTGGGTGGCTCAGTGTCTGTCCTTTCACACGGCTCAAGTCAACCACTGAATTGGCTTTTGCTTTGAAACATTTCTTTCCCCCTTACAGTTCCTGATCTATTTCATTTTATCTCTATTTTAACTTCGAAAGGGTTCACATTTAAAACATGACTTTTTGTTATCTTGTTATATGCTGCTGAGTCAGAAGTGACTCAGAGCTGAAGCTCCAGTGTCTTATAACACTAGTACTGTTGTTATTTGGTGCCATCAAGCATAGTATGACTCATTGCGACCCTATGAACATCAAATACATACCCCGTCCTATCCTGCACCGTCTTCATTGACTCTGGATTTGAAACACTACGATGACGACGATGACAACGACTACAAGGTCTAACTTTTTTTGCTTTGATAGTCTTAGGATATGTGCTGCAATGGCAAGCTAAAGCAGAAGCACTTAACATGTTTCTTTCTTTGCTAACATCATCATGTTTTCCCTCTCCCTTTCTAGAGTTTGCTTTAGTAAGCTCTGTCACAGTCAGGCTTCACTGCTCCATCCTCCACCATTGCTCTGACCACTGCTTTCTACTGAAGGGACTTTGCTTAAACTGCTTAAAGCATTTTAAACTTTAATACATCATCTTAAAGATAATTTTAAGATACAGACAAGGCAAGTATTGTTCTCATATACAAAATGAGAAAGCCGAGGAGGTATGACCAACGCAAGGATATGCAGTTCAGAAGCAGGACAGTCAAGAGAGCATCTAAGCATTATGCTCCGTGAACTAACTCAGTCCCATAAGGACAAGTACCGTAGAAAACCATTACTATAAAAAGAGAAGGAAAACTAGCAAAATGTGTATGAGGATTCAAGGTGGGGAGGGTAGGAGCAGAGGGGTGAGGATGGGCAGCAGGTAATCATAGGGTTGCACAATTTGATGGGTAGGTAAAGGAAATGGGAAAGATGTGGTGTGCAAAACAATGTATATGAAGTCTGTAAGTAAACCAGTATAAAATGAAAATCACACACACACACAGAGAGAGAGCACGCACGCACGTGCAGCAAAGACTACTGTCTTCTTCACCTCTATTATCACTTGACTGCCGTTTCTTTTCTTCAAACCTTACATCACTGAATAAATAGTTGACTGCACTTTCAACCCTGAATTTATAATTGATTCATTAGGGCAATCTTCTTCTCCTGACTTTATAAAAAGCAGAGAGATATAAAATGGAATGTTACTCTATTCCTCAGTACATTTGATACTTAAGTGAGACACTACCCAGGTATGCTTAAGTGAACCTCTTTTGTCTAGCAAAGTCAACAATCAGGATATTAACTAAAAAGAAAACAAAAAGAAGTAAAACTCTATGTTCTTATTTCTCCCATTAAATTATTAACTGAATTTACCATTCTGCTTTAAATATAACATGTACTCATGTTTGCTGAATAAATTTCATACAGTCCCTTAACAAATCAGAATCAGATGCTTGAAGAAGATAATTTCATGCTCTAACTCAGCATCTATTTAATATTTATTCAGAAGGATTCTGACAAGCTTTGTTATCTGATTTTGGCACACAGAACATCTTAGAGAAGGGACTGGGGTACTAGCAGTCATAATTTCAGAGAAACATAAAAACTGACAGCTTCACATTAAGATGAGATTTTTAAAAACCCAACAAAACACCTGTAAGAATTACATGTTACAGCTGTCATTGTTGGTATGTATAGTGGAATTGGAACCAACTCACAGCTGACCTTTCAGAGGTTGTAAATTTCATAGAAGGAGACTGTCCACCTTTTTTCCTGAAGAGCCTTGTGGATTTAAACTGTGTGCCTTTGTGTTGGCAACACAACTCCTTACCCTCTAAGCCACCAGGCTGACTCCTAGCTGACTCTCCGGCAGGTATTCAGAGGCCATAAATTACATGGGAATAGACTGTCCATCTTTCTCCTGCAGGGTAGGTGGTGGATTTGAATCATGTGTCTTGGGGATTGCTATGTTGCTTCTAGGCTACCAGAGCTCCCTAGCAAACCACCATTTTTGTTAGGTGTCCTTGAAATGAGTCCAATTCATAGCAACCCTATGAACAGCAGATCTGAACCTTGTCCTTTCCTGTGACATCTTAACACTTCCTGAAACATTAGAGCCCAGTGCTTCAGTCACCATGTCAATCCACCTGGTCTAGAGTCTTCCTCTCCTTTGTCAATCCTTCCAAGCATCATATCCCTTTTCAAGGAATAGCCTCTCCTAGCAACTGCCTGAAGTGTGTGAGGCAAAGCCTCATCATCCTTGAGTTTAAAGAGCACTCAGGCTGTATCATCTCCAAGACACATTTGTTTGTTATTTTGGCATCAATGGATGTTCAATGCTCTTTTCTAACACCACAGCTCAAATATATCAATTCTTCTTCTATCATCCTTGGTCACTGTCCAGCTCTCTGATGCACACCAGGCAACTGTGAAGACCATGACATGGATCAGGCGAACCTGAGTCTCTAGACAGACATCCTTGCTCTTCAGCATGCTGGAGAGGTCCCAGACAGCAGAATTTTCTACTGCACTGTATCTTTTGATTTCCTCACTGCTGGTGCCACAGGTGTTGACTGCGGAACTAAGTAAGCGGAAATTGTTAACAATCTCAATCTCTTCTCCATCTATCATGATACTACCAATTGGCCCAATTGGTAAGAATCTTCATTCTCTTGATTTTGAACTTCAGTCCACATTGGAAACTATAGTCCTTGACTCTGTGCAACAAATGCTTCAGATCATCCTCAGTTCAGCAAATAAGGCTGTGTCATCTGCATAACACAGGTTGTTGATAAGTTTTCTTCCAACGTGATGCCACATTCTTCCTCATAAAGTCTAGCCTCCCGAATGATCTCTTCTTCATTAAAAAGTTCGGGAGACAGGACACATCTCTGACACACTCCTTTCCTGATTTTGAACAATGCAGTGTTTCCTTGCTCTGTTCTGACGACTGTTGAAGTATAGGTTTTGCGTGAGCAAAATCAGGTGTTCTGAAATTCCCATCCTTCTCAAGGTTAGCCACAATTTGTTGTGAACCACGCAGTCAAATGCTTTTGCACAGTTAATGAAACACACATAGACATTCCTCTGGTACTCTTTGCCACTGCCTCTTATAAACCCAGCTTATATTCCTGGTAGTTTTCTGTCAATGTTCCAGTCACTTTCGGATAATCTTCAGCATGATTTTGTTTATGTGTGGTAGTAGTGATATTGTTCAATAATTTCCATACTGTTAGATTACCTTTTTTTTTTTTTTTTTTAAAGAGAATAAATTTGGATCTCTTCCAGTCAGTTGGCCAGGTGGTTGTCCTCCAGATTTCTTGGCACAGTCTGGTAAGCACTTCCAGGGCAGCATCTGTTTGTCGAAATACGTCAGTTGGTATTCTGTCAATCCCTGGAGCCTTATTTTTTGCCAATTCCTTCAGAGCAATTTGAAGTTTCTCCTTCATTGCCATTGTCTCTTGAATATAATTTATTTTATTAAATATTTCTGTGTCAGTCAGTAGTCTTTTTGGTACAATAACTCTGTGCACTCTTTCCATCTTCTTTTGCTGCTTTCTACATCATTCAGTAATCTGCCCATAGCATCCTGAAATAGTGCAACTCAAGGCTTCAGTTTTGTTCTTCAGCTCCTTCAGTTTAAGAAATGCAGCGCAAGTTTAACTCTTGATTTTCTGACTCTAGCTCTTTGCAACGGTGTCTCTCTGGAGACTAAGGTGCGCCTGATACAGGCCATAGTCTTTGCAATCGCTTGTTATGCATCAGAGAACTGGACAACGACTAGGGAGGACAGAAGGAGAATTGATGTCTTTGAGCTGTGGTGCTGGAGAAGAGTATTGAATGTACCATGGACTGCCAAGAAAACAAATAGATTCATCCAGGAGAGGATTAAACCAAGCAACTCCTTGGAGGCAAGAATTCTGGGGCTTCGTCTGACATACTTTGGGCATGTTGCCAGGAGG